TCTATCCCTCTATCTATCATCTATCTACAGTGGTACAGTGGTTAGAGTGCAGCACTGCAGTATACAATTTGGCAGTTGATATCTCACCAGGCTCAATGTTGACTCAGCCTTCCATCCATCCGAGCTCGGTAAAATGAGGACCAAGATTGTTGGGGGCAAGAGGCTGACTCTGTAAACTGCTTAGAGAGGGCTGCAAAGCACTGTGAAGCGGTATACAAATCTAAATGCTATTGGTTATTGCTAATGGCATTTTTTAATGTTAATGTTGTAAAGCAAATTCTCCCTAGGTGATCTCCACAAATGCAAGGCGCGAGTGCATTTGAGGCTACACAGAAGCCCTTATGAGTTAAGAGCCAGCCAAAGAGCCTTTATGCACACAAGGATTGGCCAAGGGTGACATTCAGATAAGGATACTTTCAGGATCCAGAGATCCCATCTGTTAATTAACAAACTATCCCTTCCTCTGACCACCACTTCCAATCTTAATGTTAATTATGCAGGAAGGTAGTTGATAGGGTAAATGAGTGAAAAAAAATCCCACAAGCTTAGCCAATAAACGCCCCCTTCTGGCCATCCAGCTAATTGCAGCTCTGAGTAATTCCCAGAGGCGCGCTCTGTTTCTGGGCGGAGCAAAGAAAAGGTATAAAAGTAAATATTTTACTACTGTAACTTTAGTTGCAACTTGTACTTAGGCTCTCAAATAAATTATGCCTCTTTTCCAAGCGACTTGCCCTGTGTGTTCTTTGGATGAGCTGGATTGGTTCTGAATCCAGTATTTTATTACGGGATAAAACTCCCCATAAAACTAAATCTATAGAGTATTCTACTGTCATCCCAGGCGCAGCTCAAAAATTAGACTAAATGTACTTTAGTCCAGCTGCTCTTGTATTTCAGCCAATTTGTCAGAGTGGGCAAAGAGGCAAATGACTATCAGAGCACATCCATGGACACCAACTGGCAGGCAGAAGAATCGACCATCAGCAGGTACATAGATATAAACAACATCTACACCACATTCAAAACAGATACAAGCCAAAAAGGGAACAAAAAGACCAAGCACCTCATCACCAGCAATCAACACCCATATAAGCAGCAGTTAACACCAAGATTAACATTAGAAGCAAACAATACTTCACACAGACTAACAATAACAGCCCGATCAAGGAAATACCAAGACTCTCAGCAATACTGACAGGGAAAGCTACTAGTATATAAACTGAGAGCAAACCCCACTCCCTTCTAGCACTGATGATGTCATCTAGTTTAATAATGAAATGTCTGCCAGGAAACAACCAAGCTCAGAGAGCACCAAGGCTACCACAGTCTTCATTGTCCTCCTCCTCCTCCTCCCTACAAACCCCACTCTCTTCTAGCACTGATGATGTTACCTAGTTGAGTAATGAAATGTCTGCAAGAAAACATCAAAGCTCAAAGAATATCAAGGACCCCACAGTCATCATTGTCTTCCTCCCCCTCCCCTCCACAAACCCCATTCCTTTCTAGCATTGATGATATAACCTTGTATACAATGATGGGTTCCGGATCCCATCGCAACAAGTACGCTGCGACAGGGCCGGGCGTCCACCATGTGCACGGACCCTTGTGCGCATGCGTACCCACTGCCCCAACACTCCAGCTGCTTGGCGGAGCATCGCACAGGCGCCGTACGCTCCATGTGCATACGCAAATGGCCCAGTTGGATCAAATGCAGGTATGGATGGCGGGTGGGTGGGTGGGTCCTCCGGAGCACTGTACTGGTACTGTGCCTGATGCTCCCAGCAGGCACCAGTACGCCCAGCCGTAACCCACCACTGGTAATGAAATGTCTGCAAGAAAACAACGAAGCTCAGAGAGCCTCAAGCACTCTTCAGTTTCATGCTGTCAAATATCCAACTTCACCTTCATTCTCAAGTGCATCCCTGTGGATCACAACAAGAGACACAAACATGTTTATCCCTTTCTGCTGTGCAAACTTATCTAGTGGTAAGTGGGTAGGACAATTGCTTTTCTTTGCAATTATCAGTGGAACCGTAATTCTTAATGTATCCCTTGTGGGTTTCTACTCACAAAAAATCTTCCAAGACAGCACCTGCTTCAAAAAAATATGCCTGGAGTTCCCCAGGTGGGGGGCAGCACATGTCACTTTGCAAAGAGCTCACTCCTGGATTTGATGAGACTCAACTGGTCTTGGCTTTCTCTTCCATCACATCCCAAACACTTATTAAACGCTAAGGATGGATGATACAAATTTGCCACAAAACCATCCAGGTAGAATGGCCTGTCTCTATTGTGCTAAAGCTGGGATGAGATTTCAAGTGCTACCTGCAATTCACCTTGTGCACAAACCTTGATTTCTGATCTAGGAGGGAAGGTGAGAAGAATGACAGGGCTGCCTCTCCTCCTCCTCTTCCTCCTGCTCTTCTGGCTCCTGCTTCCAACTTCTGCTAAGAGGATGCAAAGCATGTGTATGTTGACAAGATCTTTGCAGATTCTGGAGGACTATTACAGGCCTGGCCACCCCATTATTGGTGGGAATTTGCCCCTGGCAACCACTGTTTTTTCCTCCAACAGCCTACGCTTTCATAAAGACCCGTTCCAAAGTCTTTTGCGAACAATGTAAGTTTCACCTGGAGGGGGGAGGAAATGTAGATAAATACTTGCTTTCTTTTAGATTCAGGGAGTCTTTTAGAAAGACTAGCCCTTGTGAGGTTTGCATTGTCCTAATGCAGTGGTTCTCATGCTTTTCCGTACCATGGAATTCCCTTAGATCCCTTTTGTGGCCTTGGACCCCGAAGATTTACCTCAAGATTTAAATGATAATATTTCCTCAAGCCTTCGCAGGCTCCCTGTGGTGGCATCATGATTGCCCTGGCATCTGCAGGATACAGGTTGAGAACCACCGTAAATCTTTAGTGTAAATCTTTGTGCCTTTTTCAATTAAAAAAAAACCCCAAGCTCATAGAAAAGGCTAGAATTCTTAATTCTCCCCAATTCTTCCTGATGAAAGTAAGGAAAGTGGTGAAGCCTAAAAAGCGAGGGGGACAACATACTAGTGCTAGCCTCCTTAAAATGTTTACTTACTGCAGAAAAAAAAACAAAGACTGCCAACCTGCCTTCCATTGAGGGCCTGTACATTGCATGAGTCAAAAAGAGGGCCGTGAAAATATTTACAGACCCCCTCGCATCCTGGACATAAATTGTCTCGATTCCTACCGTCAAAACAACCAGAGGTAGGTTCCTACCAGAGGTTTAGAGGTTTATTAACATTTATAGGCCGCCCTTTTCCCTGAGGGGACTCAGGGCGGCTTACATAAGATC